TCTCTGTCTTGCGAGCGCACACGCCCTATAGCGAAAAACCTCTCCAAAAAAAAAAAAAAAGTATAGAAATCTTACTTTTGGAAAAACATTTTTATCCTTGAAATATGTTTCTATGAAAAGTTGCCCATTCGAGAACCAGCAATTAGCATAATTGCTATGTCGCTGTACTCCCACGTAATCGACAGCGGTTCGCGTCCTGGACCCGGTGGCTTAAAACTCACACCAGGCACATGTGCGTGCGTGCCCAAGATCCTGAGAGGAGAATGGTGGAGAAGGGATTGCAGCATGACCATCCCCCCTGGGGGGTGATTTCTCACTTTCTGTCTCTATGTCTCTCTCTGGCTGTCTGGTGAGCGCACACGCCCAATAGCGGAAAAAAAAAAAAACTTTCCAAAAAGTTGCCCATTAAAAGTTGCTTAAATTAACCACTAATATACTGCTGCTCAAAGCATTTTTTCTTAATGATCAAATGGATATTAAAAATTAATATATACCATTTTCCTTTTTTTTTCACTTTCAGGAGAATATTTGAAGTCCTGATCTCTGTTAAATTGAAGAACCTGTAATTTCAATAAAAGACAACTGAGTACACATTTCAGAGAAGTAATCATAAAAAAAACATTAAATAGCCATTATTACATATAATATTTTTCCTATAATTATAGAACACTTAATTAATTAAACAAGAGTGCTCTGATTTTACTTAAATGATGTGTTAAACTAATAGAGTAAGTCAAGAGATTATTTTAAATATATTTCTTAAGGTCTACATATTTCTAATATCTTGATTTTAACATTTTGTACAAAATTTAGGATGATGTTGGGAATACTATGAGCTAAGACTTTTCTTATTTTTAACATTTTACTTCTATCCATGGTAGTTCAATTGAGGTAATTATTTAGACAATTTTTTTCAAAATGTAATTTTTAAATTTGTGCTGCCATATTAGATCTGTCCATATTTATGCAGTGTAGTATGATTTTTCAGTTTATGAATGCAGTATGTAATCAAATCAAGATAATTAGCATATTGATCCTTTCAAACATTTATCATTAGTTTGTGTTAGGAATATTCAAAATCCTCTGTTACCTATTTTTACTTATATAGTAAATTGTTATTTAAGCAAAGGCTACCTCACCCCAATATCTCAAAAACTCAGGGATTTTAGTTATTTTCCAGTTAGGTATGTCAGTTCTCATCGTCTTCTTCCACTTGACATCTTTATACAAAATCCTGTATTCACCAGGATTTCATTTGAAAATTAGCAGGGAAGATGTGGATAAGCCTGCTTCTCCTGAATCATATAATGATGGAACAGAAGGTGATAATGCCCTGTTCCACATCCTGGCCCAGCGCACAAGAAGGAGCAAAGTATGCTTCATCAAGGACACCCTCGTGGATGAGAGGTCTGTCACTTGTCCTTTGGATTGCTGCATGATTTAGGACTGAACTTATTTTTTCCACTTTCATGTTTATACACACAGATATTTGGTGGTTTTACTATATATTTGCTACTATCTATGGTTATGCACACACACACGTGCACACACACACACACACACACACACTGCTTCAAGGATGATTAAAGCAAATCGACAGTTCTGTATCCAAGAATATTGTTGTTATTTTAAAGTTCCTAGTGGGATCTTTACACTCATCCAGACGACCAGAGATTACACAAAAGAGCAGTCAAACAAAGCATGGAGAACAGAATTCTTTTATTTTTCTTAGTGTGTCTTCCAGAAAATCTTTCTAAAATTAGAAACATACCAAATAGTTTTATTAAAGTTTGGCTCATTACTTTTTTTCTTTTTGCACCAGAACAAATTCAAACTTTAATTCAAATTCTTTGAAGCCTCTTCACTATCAACTGCTTTGCTTCCTAAATATTTTCATTACTATTTATCATTTTTTAAAATTTATTTTATATTCAGTCACTGTATATCATTGCAACATACACAATGAATTTTCCCCAGTACTTCTTGGAATAGTTTAATCATCTACATAAACTTGGTTCAGGTTTGAAACCAAAATTGATAACATAATTATGCTATTTTATTTCATAAGAAGACACAAGTTCTTAAACGGTTCTCCCAGCAACTATTTTCTTTTTTTTAATTTTTTTAATTCTTTTTCATTATTATCATCATAATCTTGTTTATATTACATTGAATTGCATCTAACTTTACAGTGAATTATATTGCTTTTTCAAAAGGGATTGCCATGCATGTCAGTCAATACAGAGACATTAAACTCCCCACTTCATCATTCAATATCTTTTCATTTTTTTTCCGATCATTATTATTATTATTCCAATTATTTTTTAAACAGTCAATCACTATTTCTCATTTTTCTTGTAAAAAGACTTTACCTGTCATGAAATACTTCTCAGACCAAACCACTTGATAATACTATACACGTCATCACCAACAGATAATAAGCCATACTTGTGTCTCACTAATGCCCTGCCTCTCTATTTGTTCTCTTGCTATCTTTCTCTATCCTCTTCTCTTCACTTACCCCATTCCACACTGTCCTATTCTCATTAAGTACCTTCACTGTTTTTATGTCCTCCAATATTTCGCTCTCTACCATAAAGTGCAGGTAGTCGGTATATATTAAGTGGATACATACAATATCTTTCTTTCTTAGCCTGGCTTATTTCACTCAGCAATAGATCCTCCATATCTGACCACTTTCTATCAAATGCCAGGGTCTTGTTATTTTTTATGGCTGAGTAGTATTCCATAGAGTATATATGCCATTCCCACCAACAGTGTAGGAGGATTCCCTTTTCACCACATCCCCACCAACACTTAATCACTTTTTATATTCTTAATCTTTGCCATTCTGACAGGGGTTAGGTGATATCTCATTGTGGTTTTTATCTGCATCTCCCTTATGATGAGGGATGTTGAGCATTTCCTCATATGCTTTTTGGCTGTTCATATGTCTTCCTTAGAGAGATTTTTGTTCAGCTCATTTTCCCATCTTTTAATTGGGTTAGTCATTTTTTTTTGCATAAGGCACAAGAGTTCCCTGTGTATTCTGGTTATCAGTCCCTTGTCTGAGGCATATTTAACAAAAATATTTTCCCATTCTGAGGGTTGTCAGTTCACACTTGTTACGGTGTCCTTTGCTGTGCAGAAACTTCTTAGTTTGATATAGTCTCACTTGTCTATTTTAGGGATTATTGCCTGTGCTTTGGGAGTCTTATTCCAGCAACTATTTTCAAAGTGATTCCCTTTACCAGAATTTGTTTTGTGGTCTAGATATTTTTAAGAGTATCTTTTGTTTTGGAGAATATCATAAAATGTGGGCTTTTGGGTTGTCAGAAAGGAACGTGAAGTTGAAAAGCAAATTAAGTTTTAGAACAGCAGAAAAGGTTGACCTTTCTTACTCACCTGGGCCATTTGTGCTGCTGTGGTATTTTTGGTACCCAAATACACCATTGCTAAGCAAGTTGAGATGCCCCAGGGAGAAAAGAAAATATTTTTACCCTCAGCAGATTCAGCTAGCTTTTTGCTAAACTCCAGGGCAAATTTGTTGATTGATGTTGCCAGGGAATCCATTGGGAAAAAGCTAGGAAAAACAGAGCAAAAGATAGAGAACACATTAATCATCTTTTCTCTTTTTTTCTTTTTCTTTTTCTTTTTTGGTGGAGAGGTTTTTGCCATAGGGAGTGTGTGCTCGCCAGAAAGACAGAGAGAGACAGAGAGACAGAAAGTGAGAAATCACCCCCCAGGGGGGGATGGCCACGCCTTGATCCCTTCTCCTCCATTCTCCTCTCGGGATCTTGGGCATGCATGCACACACGCCCGATGTGAGTTTAAGTCACCGGGTCCAGGACTCGAACCACGGTCAACTACATGAGAGTCCAGCGACATACCATTATGCTAACTGCTAACTGCTGGTCCCAAGAACACATTAATAATCTTTTCCACTCATTTTACTTTTGTTATAGTATCTATCTGTGTAAGTATACACATCCATATATATTCATAAGAGCTGGATAGACAAGCAAAACTCTAATCCAGCATAATTATTTTATATATTGCAACACTGAAATCTAGGGAATTTAAGAGAATTGCCCTCAATTTTGATGACTAATGTGCATCAGGGGACAAATGGACACTGGTCAGCAGCCAACAGGTGATAGTTTTGTCACTCACTTGAGAGTCAGTACCCCCTAATTTGTTTTCATATGTCCAGGTCTTAGTTTTGCTACTCCAATATAAGCTCCTTGAGAGCAAAAGTTTCTTATTTTCTTCTTTGTACATCTAACTGCACCGCATTTGGCACCCTGCACAAAATATTTTCTTTCAAGTTCTTGTTTCTTACTTGTTTATAGTATTCATTGTTTGGGATCTTGCTAATATCTTTTATTTACTTGAAACTTGAAATTATCACAAGAAAGTGGCATATGTTTATAGAGAAGTTGAGTTTAATTCTCACTCACTTGAGGTCTTCTAAAACTGGTCTTACACAAGAGGATTGATTAAGGTTTGCTCATCTTTGATTACCTTCAGCTTCTAAATTTCATCTCTAATTACTCTATTATTTTAATTAAAGGGCTTTTAAAAACTGAATTATAATCAAAGACACAGCTAATTTAAACTATTTTCACTATCACAAAATGATTTTTTAAATTAGTTCAGTGACTAAACATAAGCCTAATTCCTAGGCCTAGAAACTTTCATTAGTGCCAATGTTGTGTCAAGTTTGGTCTTGCACTGGTATCACCTGATCCTCTGCAAAATTTTGGGGGGAAACATAGAGTTCTCTACAGTTCAATAACTGAATCAGGGGGTAACCTGAGCAAAGTTTTGGGTTTTGTCTTGTCCTGATATCACAAGGCCTTCTCAAAAACCTAGAGTGAAAGTTTTTGGGAAAACCGGTTCTCTAGAGTTCAATAGTTGAATCCAGGAAGAGGCATAAGCAGAGAGAGTTTTGGTTTCATTGTGGTTTGGAGTTAACAGTGATAACATTGAAATCCCTCCTAGCTGTAGGCTTGCACTTAACCAAACACTTGCCCAGCTTCTACAATAAATCATGCCCGAGGTGTGGCTGTCCGCCTACTCCAAGAACTGATGGTAATCCTAGGCTAACATAATTTGATTTAAAAAAATATTTTAAAAATCTTGAGTTTTTTTTGTAATTCTCCATCCTCATAAAATGTGGGAATGTGCCTATATGTCATATTCAAAATTAATTACTCTTGTTTGTTTTTTAGGAGCTCTAAATTGATTACACACACACATACAGATATAAAAGTATATAAAAGCTCAATTCATTTATGGGCTTTGGGGAGACACTAAAGAGAACTAGGAAAGTAAGGAAAGGATACTGCTATTTGTCAAAATGTATATAAACATGCTCCTAGCATGTCATCATTGGAAAGAACCTTAGTGTTCCCCTAACTAAGTCTAAAGAAGGATTGATAGGAGGAGGAAGATCAGAAGAGCAATGAGGAAGAAGAGAGGGAAGGAAGGATTTTTGCCTCTCTTTCCTTGAAAGAATATCTGTGGCCTCTTGCCTTCTAATGATACTGATAATAATACCTACTTCACGTAATTGTGCATTCAGAGGTTAACTCTCCCCACGATCCCCTACTCAACTAATATGGGTTGGGAGGGGACAGTTAGTGTCAAGTCAATAATTCCATGTTTTAAAGACCAGGATCACAATTCATGTTGCCAAGCCCACTCTTCTAAAGGGGTTCAAAGGGCTTTAGCTTTATTATTCTGAAAATATTCTACTTCCTTTTGCTTATGTTGACAAACGATAGAGGTAACAAATCCAGGAATGGGACTGAATTTCACAATTCCTAGAAAAGACTTTCTCTACCTTATTTGGAAATACATACTCTCTCTTCCTCAGCTCTCTTTTAGTACAAATTTCACACTAGCTCATGGTGTACTCTATGACTTGTACAGAAGGATTCTTAGGGGAATGAAACCTTATCTGTTATTGCTTTGGTCAGGTCTTGATCATTTGTTATTACATAGGCATTTTACCAAAGAATATAAATATAAATAAACATTTTTAACCAAAGAAATATGCGTACAATACCTTGTTTCCTTCTTCCACTGGAGCAGAATTGGCGATTTCTTCCTTTAGTAAGAGATTGTGGCTGAAGAGTTAAGTAACTTTTAACTGAAGAAAGAAAAAAAAAAATCCTAGCACCTCCTTCTTCTTAGCCCCACCTTTGATTCACTTTCACAAGCCTATACATTCTTCTTTTCAGGCTCTTCTTAGTCAGAAGTTTTTTTGTTTGTTTGTTTTTGTTTGTTTTTTAGACAGAGAGATAGACAGTTGAGGCTTTACTTTAATTATTTAATTATCCACATGTTCCACATCTATCTAACATGTAGACACATGAATTCTGACAAATTATAAGTCACACTTTCCTGGCTTAATCCCTTCTCTAGTCTACCAATAGGCAATTAGAATTAGATTTTTTTAAGCAAAATATAAAGCTTTAAATTAATGAAATAATGGGAATGAAATGGAAAATGTTATTGATGAATTATTTACTGCTAACCTGTTATAGTTACTCTTAGAGTACTCTGTCAGAGGCACAAAGGAAATTTTTCTGTTTTTCTTGTTTGAGGTCTTGATGTAGAACCCAGAGCATAATATCAGTGAGTAAGATGTCAGTCCCCCCATTGCACAGACAAGGGGTTTGGATCAATGTTTCAGATGGATATAGAGTGAGATATTGGGTCATCGTTTTCTGGTTCTCTGCTTTCCCCTATGGATGTTCCCTAATTTTCCTTATTTATTACAAAGGGAAAACAACAAACTAATGGCTTCATTTGTGTGCACATGAAGGAATGATGTGGCAGTGAGGACAGGGATAGAAACAAGAGGAAAAATCCAGGATTTCTAGTAAGAGGTAGTAAGGGAAAGGAAGAGCCTCTGTTTCAAATGTACTTGGTGTTTTTCTTCATGCAGCTTCCATTTTCTGTTCATAGGGACACACATGTCCTCTGGCAAGTTCCTCAGGATTTAATACCTGAATGTTAGTGAACACCCAGAGCAGTGTTACTCTGAACGTCACTAGGCAACAAAACCAGTGGTGTGAAATTCTGTGATGCCTACCTGATTTGTGCTGGGTAGATGATATTATTCATGGATGCTCCCCAACACTTTTCATTATCTGAAAGTATCATATGGAAGCTACCTTGACTGATAACAGTCAGCAGGTGTCTTGGACATATCATTGCACTGCATGAAGGATCCTCTAGTTGCTTATGCTATATTAAATGCATCAATGTAGATTCTGTTGATTTTGGCAAGAAATTATTTTATCTTCTTTTTTATTGGGTGGGGGGAGAGGTTTTGCCATAGGGCACGTGCGCTCGCCAGACAGACAGAGAGAGACAGAGAGACAGAAAACGAGAAATCACCCCCCAGGGGGGATGGCCACACCACAATCCCTTCTCCTCCATTCTCCTCTCAGGATCTTGGGCACGCATGCACACGCGCCCGGCATGCGTTTTAAGCCACAGGGTCTGGGATGTGAACCGCGGTCAACTACATGGGAATCCAGCAACATAGCCATTACGCTAACTGCTGGTCCCTTATTTCATCTTCTTTAAAGTGACAAAACCACTTTTAAAAATCTTTTCCCCAAAATCTTTCTTAGATTTCTTTTCTGCTTATTCCTTATGAAAATCCTATGTACATATATTTATACAGCCCATATCAGTAAGATCGTGGTTGTGTACTAGTTTGCTGCCTATTTTAGAGCTGGAAAAAAGAGAGGTGATCATATCCTAAGTAAGCAATATCGTATTAATAGCATAATTCTGTGTGTTGGCTGCTGTTATTTGAGACCTCCTCTATGTATATACAGCAATATGATAAGGTGGAGGAATAGGATGGAGAGTTTTCACTCTAGTTTTTTCAAAATATTTGATATTTGGGCTTGTGAATTTATTAGGTATTCAAAAACAATTTAGAAACAGAGAGAAAACTCCAGGTATACCAATACAATTCTGAAGGAATGCAGAAGAGAAGAACAGATAAGTAAGGTAGAGGAAATTGAGTAGGTAAAGCCTACCTTATTCAATTCAGGCTGCTATGACAAAATACCACAGCCTAGGTGACTTAAAAAAAAAAAAGAAAGAAACACTTATTTTCCATGTTCTAGCAACTGGAATTCTGGGGCTGGGTGCTAATAAGGTCAGCTTCTGGTGAGAGCCTTCTTCCTGGTTCACAGATGGTGCCTTCTTGTTGTTTTACTCTCATGGAGAAAAAAAGCTTCAGCTCCTAATAACGAACTAATCTCATCGAGAGGATTCTACCGTTATGATCTAATCTAACCCTAATTACTTCACAATGGCCCCATGTCAAACACCATCACACTGGGGATTAGAATTTCAACATACGAATTCTGAGAGGGGAGGTTACGAACATTGACTCTACTAATGACTGAGAATTTCCAATAATTGAAACAAGACACAAATTTCCAGATGGGAAAATCTGCTGAGGAGTAGGATAACATTTTTAAGACACAATTTTTTAATTTAATTTTTAAAATTAACCCAAAATTAATTTTTTAATTTAATACAAAATATCAAAAATATTATCAAGAAAAAATTATTAAAATTACAAAAAGCATGAATTATCCTGATGTAAATTTTCCTATCCATAACTTTGGGTACCAAAAGATAAAATTATACCTTCAAAGTGCTAAAGACTTCTACACCTAAACACTAAGTCAGTGAGAGTGAAATATGGATATTTTAAGACTCATAATTCAGAAAGTTACCACATGCCAACTTCCTGAATGAGTCATTAAAGTACACAGAAAAAAAAAAAAAAAAGGACTAGAAGTAAGCAGGAGAAAGCAAGAAGCAAGAATCCCTAATTTTTAAGGATTTCTGGTTAGAGAAAATATATGATGATTCAAGCATTAAAAAATTAATTAAATTATTTTTCAGGATCCTGAGCATATACTTAATGAGCAGATAATGAAACAGTTTTATGACAAAATAAGGCTCATAATCACTAATATTTTTTAAACACTGTGTGCTAAGCATTAGAAGTAATCACTCGATATATATAAGCTCACTAATCATCGTAGCAACTTTATGATGAAAGCACGGTGTTCTCTAATTTACACTGAAAGAAGGCTGAAGCAAACAGCATCACCATACTTGGCCCATGTTGGACCACGTGTGTTAGAACTGAGATCTGGATACAGGTAATCGAGGTCTTAAGCTTATTTTATTAGTCACCATACCTTGGTAGGGCAACTATCTCTGCCTTTCATCACAGTGAGTATAGCAGCCAGAATGCTTTCCAGGATCCAGCCTCACTTCTGCAGCCAGACTGCTGCCAGTATGTGGCTGAGTTCTCATATTTACGTTATGTTCTGCCCCATCTCATAACTACTTGGAAGAATTCAAAGTTGTTTGAAACAAGCACTTTTAAAAGGAGTCATCTTACGTTTCCTCACCTATTTATTTGTTTATATTTTTAAATAGGGTGAGTGCAATTGTCAAAGAGAGACAGAGAGAGATAGGGAGAAAGGGAAAGTGAAAACTTACCTCTGAGAGGGATGGCCATGCCACAATCCCTTCTCTGTTCTCTTCTCATGATTTTGGGCAGTCACACATAAGTGCCTGGTGTGTTTTTCAAGATGGTGAGTCAGGACTCGAACCACACAGTCAGACATGTGGGATTGAACTGCCTTAACCTCTTCACCACCTGTTGGCCCTCCCCTTCTATTCTTCATACCTAACTCATCTCCACTGCTCTGAACTCTCAGTTCAATGACTATGACCTCAATTCTTCGTCTGTACCAATGGACTCCATGGTTATTCTTAGTGTCTTTGACACTGGGTTTAGACACTGGTTTAGACACTAGTTTCCCCAAAGCATTCTGACCTACACTATTCTGAATTACTATGGTCTTCACTTGCTGTGAGAAGACTGCTCTAATTTGTTTATCACAACTCTTATCCATTCACCCTCAACATCAAGCCATCTTGCAAGAGGGGAGGTTACACCCTTTGCTACTTTGTCTGTTTTTTCTGGGGTCCTACAAGTGAGCCATGAAGCTCAACTCCTGGCAATCAGGGCATAAAGGGGTCTTATGTTCTGTATACCTAGTGGAATGATAATAAAACATGATTGTGTACAAACGTTTATTTTTTATAAGGTTATATTTTTACATAATTTATAGGAAAATATATGTGATACATAATGCAAGAAATGCGCATGCCTTTTCAATGCTTTCTTCTAGACATTTATTATAGAAGGGCATGAAGGGACACTGTATCATATTTCATTGTGAGAACAAATAAATGCATTTCTGTAGATAGAAAATAATAATTTAAAAACATGCCATTATATAAAATAATAAATAACCTGGTAAAAGTTAATGCTATAAAATAAACTAATAGTAAAGAAGAACTAAATAGCAACATTCTGCTTTAGGAAAACACATGACTAATAGTGTCATCCTATTGTCATTGCCATATCCAACTATTTCTGTGTTTAGGTTTAGTGTGCAGTAGGTGTTGTCCAGAAATATGTATGAAAAGTCTCAATTTTGGAATTTGAGATAGCAGTTCTGAGACTAACAGCTCATATTACAAAAATATATGCAGAAACAGAAACTTTTAAATTTTTGGCAAGGTGTATCTGCCAAAAAATAGGATGCAATTGGTCACTTTGTGCATGATGAAGAAGAGGAAAGGATGGTCTGCTACAAACTTTGGGCCTCCGTGACCAGTTCTCCCTGTCATCACACCCCCAGTGCCAGCAGCTGCTTCCGTGCCCTCCTCATTTACATCCACGGTGGCTTGGTGGTACACTTCGGAGAGAAACAGGTCATTCTTCTCTGACATCCCTAAGAAATTGGCTTGACCCTTGTTGAAAGCATCATTCATGCCCATGCTCCTCAAAATGGATTTGAGTTCATAGTGCTCTTCTAATTTGAACTGGGGGATGTACACCTCGACATCATCTTCAGTCATTGTGTCTTTGCTGATCCACTTGTTGAGTTTCTCATAAGTTATTTCACTTTCCAACTGCAAAACAAAACAAGAAACAGTCAGTGTTAGAAAACACAGAACAACTCCAAATCTAATGCAAAAAAAAAAAAAATGCCTTTCTATTCTTGCCTTGGGCAGAGGGAGGATAATTATGTGAGATGATGGATATGTCAATTTGTTCCACTGTAGTAACCATGTGTATGTATGCACACACATACATATCTTACAATAGCATGTTGTGTCCCCTCACCACACACAATAAAATTTATTTTTAAAACTCAGTGACTTTAATTCTACCATGTTGTTAGTGATATAAAAATTTAAAAGATTGGTCAGATTTTGGCAGGAAGGTAGCATGTATGACATAGTTAAAAACTTTTTTTTTTTTTTACAGAGTGATTTTTGCACTCGCCAGAGATACAGAGGCAATCAAGAAACCATCCTCCATGGGGATGGCTGTTCTGCAATCCCTTCTTCTCCCTTCTCCTCTGGGGATTTTGGGCACACACATACACATGTCCAACATGGATTTTAAGCTGCCAGGTCCAAGACTCGACTGCAGTTGACTACAACATCACTATTATGCCATCTGCTGGTCCTGACATACATAAAATTTTAAATAAAACTTTTGCAAACATGCCACATTTGTTACCAATGATTCACATATTTCTGTGAGAACTTGCACATCATTTCCTATGATGTAGAGGGTCATCTCATGAAAGGTAGATGAGCCTTAGGAGTTTGAAACAATTGAAGTATGAATAAATGCCTCACCAACTCCAAGCCAGTGGATGCTTCAGTGATCTCATCTGGAAGCAATAGGAACATGCTGACAAGTCCAGCATATGGGAGTTCCAGAATCTGAGCCTTCAGGTCTTCTATGTATCCAATGTTTAACTTCCCATGCAAGTACATCATCTGTACAGGTATGCGATGAGTCTAAATTTATTTTAAAAAAATAGTAAAGTCAATTATTAGATGCCAGGAGATTTACAATTAGACATAAAAGAGAATGGACTCTAGTGGTGAAAAATGTGTTTTTAAAAGTCAACAAAATAAGTTATTTATATACCCCTAGGTGAGTTCTCCGTTATTAGATGTTCAAATTTGCATCCATTATTGAATAAAATAGACAACAAGAATAATGGTAACAATACTAAAACATTTGTTAGCAACTACTGTGGACCAGGACCTCTGTGAAATTTCACTGAATACTTAAAATCTTTCAAATTAGATATTATATTAGCTTAGATTTATAGATCGAAATGGAATGCAAGAAAGACAAGTAAGGTCGTAGCGTAAGTGGTAGAAAAAACATTTGAGTTCAGGAGTATATAATTATAAAGCCCACAATCTTCATCTCCGTTCATACTGACTCTGAGGAAATTATTAAATGATATTCAGTAGCTCGTATGGGTCAGTTAACTGCCTAAAATGCATAATTTCTAAGTAGCAAGTCATGTAAGAGAATTAATGAATGGTCTCCAATTTTTTTCATCTCTGTCTTGTCTTCATGTTAAGAACTGGACTAATTAATATGCAGTGTATTTATTCTGGGAAAATTCATTTTGTATGCTGTAAAGATACACAGTGGTTACATGTAAATTTGTGTGTGTGTGTGTGTGTGTGTGTGTGTGTGTGTGTGAAAGGAAAAGAAAGAAAAGAAAAAAGTGAAAATGTGTCTTATTGTCTCATACCAAGTTCACACGGAAAGGATAAAGCCCATTTAGTTTTTTTTCGAATGGTGTTTTCCACTTTCCTTTGAAGTAGATAGCATTCACAAGGACCATCCTGGTCTCCTCATCTACAGCACCTTCAGGTAACAGGGTTGGGATTTTGCCTACAAAAAAAATAACATGTTTAGGTTTCATAATCAAGAACTGTGAAGTTATGATTTCTTAAATCTTTTGAGACGCCATCAAACTCTGTGTCAACATTTGTCAAACTCTGCAGAGATGTTGATCTTACAGCTCAAGTTTTTCAGAAGATTTGAAAAATTCAAAAGAAAAAAGAAGAAATAATGCATTTAAAACTAGAATCACTATCAGATTTGAAAAGGAGATTTTTGCTTCTTTTTAAATTGATCTCTCAAAATGTTGCAGTTGTGTGAGAGTTATTCAATTCAAAAGGGGCTGGAAGAGACGCTCTTAAATATAATCGTGTTTTTCCACACTCAGTCCTAGACTCTGTCTAGACAGTCAATGGTTCAAATGTATTCAAATGAATAAATACTATAAAAATTAAATGTTTAAAAAATCTATAAAAAGTGTGCTAGACCTAAACTAGGAATAATATAGATATAAGGGATGAAAAAAAATGAATTATCTTAGAGGAGCTTAAAATACTAAAAGAGATGTTCAACATGATTTTGTTGTGAAACAAATTATATGTTAAATTCAATAATTGAGCTAAATAATGTAAATTACCATGGCAATACAAAGCACAGATGAAGAAGTGAGCTAGTGAAGATTTTTAGAAATGCTGACATTTGTGTCACGGTAATTCTTTTAAAAAAAATGATTTAAGAAACAATTTATTTATAGTGAGTGTCTGCTCTGCAGTATTCCAACCACTAAAACATAGCATTTCATTTAGTTCTAATAACTACTCTATTAACTGAGAATTATTAGTGTCATTTGTCCAAGCAGACACCATGTGAGAGAGGCTAGCAACCTCCCCAAGGTTACAATGTTGGTAAACTAGAAAGGGTTCTGCCTCCACATAGTCTACTCTCTGCCTCCATCATCTATTCTTCTCCAACGCAATTATTGGAGCATAATAAGAAAACCACTACAGTATAATCAGCTTTGGTATATCTATTCAATATATCCCTAAAGCAATTACAAGTTTTGGTTAATATTAGAGTCTACTAATGCTTATTTTGTGATGTATATGACAAAATTAGCATCTGATCATACAAGGGATAAAAGCATAATTCTCTTCAATTATAAAAGTTGGCTAAAATAAAAAATTAGCCCCAAATGACTGTGGGGAATTTTGGCAATACAAATAATTGATTATAGCAATTCAGCATAATATTTTAAGGTTACAAAAAAATAAGCTATTCTTTGAAGAAAGTAAAACTGTCCCTTTAATTTTGCTTTCCATTTTTATCTTTACTTTTGCTAATTTAATCTTCACTTTTCCTTCTTCTCTTGTGTCAGTAGTTTGTCAACATTTTAGAATAGTAATTTCAATCTCTCTACACAAGAAATGAAAAAATATAGGGGGTCATTTTTAGATAAAGTAAAAAGAGGTTTAAAAATTCCACAGAACTTAGTTCATGAGAAAATAATGCATTTTAAGTGGAAAATTATTTTCCATTGTATTATCTAAGAAATTTAGATGTCAAATTCTCACTTGAAAGTGTTTTAAACAGAGTAGTTAAATGAAAATCCATTTTATTTTTGCATTAGGTTATCAAAATATTTAAACCTTCAATTGAAGAATTCCGGACTTAAACTAAGGATCTGATGAAGAGAAAACTCCAGCTTCACTACTAATCACGGTGGGGGGTAAAATTAGAAAGGTGTTTCTTAAAGACATCTCCCAACTCCAAAACTCATAAATCTTTGAAAAAAAAAATTTGGGGGGAGAGATTTTCGCTATAGGACGCGTGTGCTCGCCAGACAGACAGAGAGAGACATAGAGACAGAAAGCGAGAAATACCCCCCCCAGGGGGATGGTCACGCCGCAATCCCTTCTCCATTCTCCTCTCGGGATCTTGGGCACGCACACACTCGCGCCTGGTGTGAGTTTTAAGCCACCGGGTCGGAGACACGAACTACGGTCAACTTCATTGGAGTCCAGTGACATAGCCATTACGCTAACTGCTGGTTCCCAATCTTTGACATTTTTGAGCAAGTAAATAATCTCCATAATAATCTCTCTTTTCTCCTCTTAGAAATCTATTTATATATTACTCAACAATTATTGTTTAAGGCCTATAATTCTACTTGATTTTTCACAAGTCTGTACTTTAGGGATCCATATACGGTATTGCAGTGACAATGAGTAAGCCGCGTTTACAGCTCAAGGAGCCAGCCGTAATTCAGTATAGGCTGTTAAATTAATGAGAACTCAA